CAACAAGTGGAGTTATCCCTATAGGTGCACGTGTGCAAAGTGTGTTTGATTGCATACATTTTTGTCTTTTGATCAGGGTGGTCTACTTGTTGATTTTATCTTGCCATACACCCTAATTACTAACATTTTGTATAAAGTAAAAATGCATAAAGATAAAATCCTAAACTATTACAACCATATTGAATTGCATGAAAATATAAAGGCAAAAATAAGATAAAAGTAAGAAAAAGGGTCTTTTCAATTTAGGCAGAAAACCCTTTGATTCTGCATTTTCTGGCTCTCTTCGATCTGGCCTGAAAATGGTGAAGGCATGACTTTTGATTGGGGGCCTGGAGGCCAGCATGTTGAGCCTTTCGAATAGGCATGGGGTCAGTGTAATGTGCCTACTGGATGCCTCTTTCGTTTCACCTGAAGGTTAGTATGGAAGCCATAGGCTTCATTTCCAACTTCATGTTTCCTGTTTCTTTCGTTTGAGTTTGAATAGAAACATGGCCTAAGCCATGCCAACATTACCTTAGGGCCAAGTTATTTTTAAAAGTATGTTTAAATATACAAAGAGCAAAAAACCAAGAAGGTTGTTAATCATGAAACTTATTAAAACAATGGAAACGAAAAGAAGAACAATAGTATGTACATGTTTGAAACGAAAAGGAATTGTATTTACATGTTTATGCAAGAAACGAAGAGTTCAAGGTTTAGAACAACTTACCTTGCTGGAGGATGGAGCGTGTGCTGGATCTTCAAGTGGTTGGACTAGATGCTCCTGGATTCGAAGGAAAGAAACAGGTGTGGTGTTTCTTTTACTGGATTCCAAGGTCAGGAGGTGCGAGGGTGGTGTTTGTTATTTCTGGATTCGAAGGAGAAGAACAGGTGTAGTGTTCTTTCTAATGGATTCGAAAGAAAAATAAAGTGTGGGGATTGTTTCAGATTCGAAAGAGAAAAAGAAACAAGTTTTATGTTTCTTTAGATTCTGGATTTGTGTTTAGTGTTTGAGAATCTTAAGAGTTTACGAGTTTTGAGAATTTGATAATTTTTTAAGATTCTTTCCACACCATCCAAAATCTGCCAGCGTTCTCTCTTGTTTTCTTCCTGTCCCTTTTTGATGTGCAAATGAACTCTCTATTTATAGAGAGAAAATTTTGAATGAGCAGTTTTGTGAAAGAATAAAATATAGTTTCTTTGAAAGACCAACATCCAGTTGTGTCAACTTTTTATAATCTCAAGATAAAAGTACCACAATCAATGGTTTAGATGGGTGGCTCCTAGTTTATAGGGGGAAATGTGCAGAAGAGATAGGCGCAAGGCTCAAAAACTTTCTAAAAAAGGTAGTGATGTCATCAAGAGCAAGTTGGCTTGAAGAAACAATTTAATATGGAGTGAGACACAAATTGGAGGCCTGTGTAGCCTGACCTATGGACAACTTGACTCTTTAAATCGAATCCTTTATCTTTCCATAACCTTCGATCAGACTTAACAAAGCAACATTCGTTTCCACCAGTTGTGTGTCCTTCGAATGAACTAATTGTGTGTTCTTCGAATGGCCCTCTTCAGCTGAATATGCCACTTTGAGTCCTTCTGCTTTAACCACTTGGGTCTAAACCTTCGACCAAAAACTAAATGTTCAACCATGGCAAGTCTTTCGAATGGGTCACCAAATTATGCGCCACAGTGCAGGAGCTAGGCGTATTGAAGGGTTTGCAGATGGATTCGAAGGTGATATGAAGGTGATTCGAAGCAAACCTAAAGGTGGACACGAAGTCAGCATATAGGTGTATTTTAAGCAAACTTAAAGAGAATCATTTATTTATGGGTGTTAGCGTGAGAGAAACCCCTGTTTTGTGCATACAAGCTTGTAGGAGGATTCAAAGGTCATGTTCTGATCGAATAGTAGAACTTTTGTATGTTGAAGAGTGAGATTCGAAGGGTCATATTCTGGACGAAGGGCTGAGCTTCTGTATGTTGAAGATTGAGATTCGAAGGGTCATATTCTGGACGAAGGGCAGAGCTTCTGTATGTTGAAGAGTGAGATTCGAAGGGTCATGTTCTGGACGAAGTAAACTTCTGACCTTCGATTCTCCCTGCTCCAGCATGATCTGAAGGAATTCTCTAGAAAGCTTGTAACATGTTCTGCCATCCCTTTTTGAATCACTTCTGCAAATTCTGATTGTACTTGTGTGAAAACTGGTCCAGAAGTTATGTCTAAATTTTGACTTAAAAATACCCAGAATTTACCAAGTGTTTTAGCTTCATGAACGTGTCTTCAAGGATTTATAACTTGAAATCCCAGCATTTCTAGAAGAAGTTCTGTTCAGCAAAATTTTAGATCTCATTGAGATCTATAACTTTCATGTTAGAAGTTCTGATTGAATCATCTTGCATCATGATGAAAATATGGCCCAAAATTATGTAATTATCATATTTTATTAACACTTGGAAAATTTTACAACTGCTTAAAAAGTTGACTTTTCAAAGTAATTTTTGAGTTTTGATTTCTTGATGAACCAACTTCATGTCTTGATGAAATATGATTTTTGAAACTCGATTTTGATCAAAAAGTCAAAGTTTGACTTTTCAGTGTGCATTTGACCATTTTGCCCTTGTGAATGACTTTCTTGAAAAATTTATAATCCGAGACTTGAAACTTGACAGAAGCAATCTTGAGGCCTTGAGGAGTGAGAGAGCAAATTTTGGGGTACAACAAGTGTCAATTTAAGGTTAAGAGAAATAGAGAGAAAATAAGAATTCAAAAAGAGAGAAAAGATGAGAGAAACTCATTCCTGTTTGCAACACATATATCTAACTTTTGACTATTGGAATCTAAGTTTTGCACTGAAGCTGCAGATTTGGGAAAATTTTCAGTTTTTTTATTCTTATTTGTAAGTTAGTTTGCTTTGTGATTTGCGGTTGTTATCACTATATTGTGAATCACTTTAAGACTCTCTTGTATCCTTTGATTATAGTGGAGTTATTTTTCTCTTGTCTGGACGACTCTTGATTTTTACTCTCATATTGAAGAATTTTGCACGTTAAAAATATCACAATTCTTTTGTGTCTTTATTGTTCGATTGTCGTCTTATATTTGTTGTTGATCCTCAAGGTTCCTACAAATTAAAAAAATTATATCCATTACGTATTATTCTGTTATTTTGTCTTAATTTTCTATCAAGCGTTACTTTTCGTGACTCTAATTCTGCTTTCGATAGATCCATGATCTGAGATCTAGTTTGGTGTTGTTGGGGCGGTTTGCTGTTGTGTATTTAGTGTGGTTTCTCTCTACTGTTTTTGTTGGTTGGTTGTTTGTTGTTTAAGGTGTATTTTTCTTTGTTATAGTGTTGTTGTGAGTTCTTGTTGTTTTGATAGTAATTTTCTTCTTTCACACTTATTGTGCCTTTGTACTTTTCTGAGTTTTAGTCTTTTATATTATAACCATTTAAAAAAAAATATTTTTTTATAATATACATTAATCGGGTTATCAAATGTTCTAATTTCAAATTCTTATGTTAAGATACAACCCGCAGAAATATAACCAAGACACAAATAATTTTTTTTTTAAATGTTAATTTTTCAGTATTGTTTATACTAATTTATTATAAGAAAAAATATTCAACTATGACATATGAATTGAGGTACCCTACCAATTACTCAAAAATACAAAAATTATTCCTAGACAAAGTTGTACAAATACACCAGAGAAAAAACATCATTTCCAAACCATAAACACACACATAATTAGTAGACAAGATGTACAAATAAAGCAGAAAAAATGCAGTATTCAAGTTCACACCATACATGTTACAGAAAATAATATACTATGCTATCATTGCTGGCCCTAGTGATAAGAACTTGCTCATGCTTTCTTTCAATGGAATCCAAAGATAACATCTTCAAGCGTAAACTGGAAGGAAGAATCATATAGGAGACAAATGAAAACCAATTGAAATATATGAATCTTGATTTTGTTTGTTTACGTTAAGAATAAATCAATCAGAATAAATTCTCTTCCTTTATTCTGTGTGTAGCACCAACATGTTATCTTGTACAAAAGTAACTGGTCGGTGTAGTAAAGTTATTAAATATTTATACTATTATAACCGTTTGTATCTACTTGGTTGAAAACTTTTATCTTTACACGTTAAAAATTGATCTTAGAATATTAATGATTTTTAATTAAATTACTACAGCCTCTTTAAGATTATATGTATAGATAAAGCTGACATCACAGCCACAATTTTGATCATATTCTCTCAAATATAAAGATTTCTAACGTAAAGTTTTAAGTGAGATCTACTCTGCAATATTACTTTGAAGTAATAATCCATTCATTTTTTTTATTTAAGTGGTACTTATAAAAAATTAAGATAGTCTTGCAATTTTAACTAAAATATTAATATTTATTTATATTCAATATTTTTACTTAAGATAGTAAGTATTTTCAATTAATATTAATATCAAAAACAAATTTAATTTCTTTTAGAAGCTAAAAAAATATTGTCTAATAAATTACAAAAAAAAATTAAATTGAGATAAAAATTATGAAAATAAATTTAAACATAAAATTAAGAGTAACTTCAATACTTATATAACCTATTAAAAAATACATACATTAGATCTATTGAAATTTTACAATTCTAATGTAAAATTTAATTCTTATACATTATTAATTTAAAAATAAAAACTACACTATCAATTAATTACAATATAATCAAATCATTTAACATACTTTGAATTTTAATATAACTATCAATTAAATCATACTCATAAACAAATAGAATGAAAACTTCACTAATAAATCCCTTTATTATTATCTTTATTATTTCAAATATATCCTTACCAACCAACAAGAAGCAACATTTAAAATTTCACTAATGAAAAAAAAATAAAGTATACAAAGTTAAAGCATAATTACCAAAAAAGATATGAAAAATTATACTCACAAAAAATTGGAAGAAATTAATTGCACCCCTTTAAGATGTATACGTAAATCTGATACAAAAATAGCATCATTTCGTAGTTTCCTGATTATTATCTCTTCGAATTTTCTTGGCGCCATGTGAATCAGAAAATGGAATATGCTTAGTTTGGAACAATAATTCAACTTCTTTTGACAGATCAAGTGGTAACTGTCTGCAGTTGTAGTAGTGATCAGTGTATACAGCTCTTCTTTTCAGAGACTGTTTCATTTTTTTGGGTGCAGGTGGACATGTGAGCACTGGTATCTTGTGGTCCAATGTTGTTGGAGTTCTGAAACCATCTTCATCTTTTTCTTCAAGCTTTTCTTCTTCTGATGACGATGACGATGACGCTGATGCTGATGATAGAGTTTTTGAGATTTCTTCTGTTTCTATCTTATGATTATCAATATTGATCACTTCTTCTTTGTCATTTTTGATAAGAAAGAGTTCTTCTGGATTTGGTGACATGTTTGAGAAGTGATGCATGAAGCTAAAGAAGAAAACAATGAACAAATATAGTTATAAAAACAATGAAAAAGAGATGGAAAAAGAAAGAATAGATGATAAAGAAGAGAGTTATAGGTATATTGTTTGTTACAGTTGTTTATAGAGAAGAGAAAGAGATATCTCTTAGAGTTGAATATACTAATAATAAGAATAATCTATTCTCTTTGGCTTTACTTTTTGGTAGTGCACTGTTTCTCTTTGTTTTCAGTGTATTCTCACAAAAGAGTGGAAGTTGAAAGGGTATTATAAGTTGCACTGGATCCTATAATTTCGGGTCATATCATATAATGATGATGTAGTGTGTTTATTTTCACAATTACGGCCGTTATCAAATAACAACAAAAAAATAATACTATGTAAAAAATGTTATAACACATAATATACCGTCAACCACACTCAGGCCCCTTAGTACACACACCCTACAAAATAAATATTTAACTATATCTGACAATATTCTAACACAAGAGTATAAGAGAAAAAAGAAAGTCAAATACAAGTTTAAAGTGATTTTGATTAATGCATCTTGTAATGAAAAGCTTGAATTTTTTATATAGCCTTGAACCCCATCTTCATTTACAAAACTATGTGGTGTGGGGTTTCATAAACATGTATATTTTCAACCAACCTTAACAATATTCATCTTTATTGAACATAATACATCAGATTTTATTTTCTTCACTGACTATCATAGTTCATAGAAAACTATCATACTCTATCATAAAGAGTATAGTCAATTGAAGCTATATCACTCTAAAAAATTTCACATTGTCTTCACCGACAATCATAGTTCAAAATAACTATCGTACTCCACCATAAAGAGTATAATCATTTGAAGCTACACCATTCCAAGAGTTTTCACTTTGTCATCATCTACAATCATATACTTTATCATGAATAATATATTCCTTTGTTGAAAACACTTTACAGGACAAGTATTTAAATAATCGTTTTTCACAGAGATTGGTGTGATATAACCGTCATTCTACAATTATAATCGTTCTAAGCTTAAGATTCATAAAAGGTTTTGGTTTTGGTTTTAGTAACTGAAAGTTTTGATTTCATGCAAAGTATCAAGTATCGGTAAAAAAGAGTTTTAATTTTAAACGATTGGTAAAAATGTGTCAAGATTAGTGTTCGTTAACCTATTTCATATGTAATCGATTAATCAAGAGTATGAACTTATTAATGAACGATATATCCACGTATCCTCTGAATATCATTTATGTCTAAACGATATTGTGAGTATTATCATGTTAATCCTCAGATAATGTCTCAACCTAACTATTAACATAACAATCTATAAAGATTGATACTTGTGAATATCAAGTCACAAATCTATGTCTAGAGTTTGCTCATTAATAGATGAATATCTTAGGTCAGGTTTGAAACATACTTCTCAATAGTGATCCAAACCATAAAAAGAATAATAAAAGCAAAGATATTCAACATATATTTATCATCAACCAAGTTCATACACAAGATGATCAAAAGAAATACATAATAGTTAGGTTAACTACCTCTAATCTTGACACAAGAGAAATTTAGCTATCCATAGACATGGTAGCTTCAACAATAAGAAAAGAGAGAAGATGATCAAGCATCAATGGTTATTTCTCGACGATTGATGCTCTGAATCTTCGATTTCTTCTTCTACAATGTGCTTTATCTGATTTTTAGCTCCCAAATTTGTTAGTACCCCAAAAATATCTAAGGTTGTCTATTTATACAAGTGGTTGACTTCGCAGACCGCACTAAGCGCGATATATCGCGCTAAGTGCGCTTCACTTAAATGTTAAACTTCCTTTGAGCACGCTAGACACCAACAGACTGGGCTTAGCGCACTCGCTACTGCCAGAACTTCCTCCACTGCGTTGTAACCACGCTGAGCGCGACCTGAAGCACAAAAATCCTTCCAAAAATGCTTGAAATCTATCTTTAAGCTATTACATTGTCCAAGCTTCAATCCAAAGTAAAATCTTACAAATTTTAGACAAAATATGATCAACTACAAGCTATTTAATTGATTAAATCAAAATACGATTATTTACATAGAAACAAAAGGGAAATAACAAAATATGCGATATATAGAATCTAAAAGCACCAATAACTATACTAAATATTAACACATTTTGGCACCTAACAACTCTCCCCAACTTGCTTCTTTGTTTGTCCTTGAACAAAGATAAAACTCAACAAGAAACAAGATGAAACTTTAGAGAAGGAAAACAAAATAGAAATGGATGGTTCAAACTCATAGATACACGCAAAAAAGTAATTGGCAAATGCTTTCTCAGAATCAAACATGGTTATGAATTAAGTTCTAAACACAAAATATCAACAATTGTATACACAAGCAACAACATGTTCATACTTGAATCACCTACTCTTAATTAACAAAACATGACTTATATACACCTATTTATAAGGGACAAAACACTCTCACTAGAAATCGTGCTAACATCCGGAATAATTCATGCATTCATCTCAAGAAACAAAATAGATATCAAGAAAACAAAGATCACTAAAGTACTTTTAAAGGATGTAATTGGCTTAGGTTAAAAACAAGGGATAATACATAAGGCCATTGAAACAAAAATGGGTAAAGATCATGAAGAGCATTTCAAAATTTTTACAACATTCATTCTTGCTCAATCCTTACTTTCTTTTCCATCCTTCGATTTCTTTTTTCACAGTGCAATCTTTCTTTTCTATTCTTGATTTTTTTTTCTTCTTTTCAAATTTTGTTGATTGTTTTTTTTTTCTTCCTTTTTGTAATTTTCTCAAAAGATGCACTGTGCCACCAATTCTTTCCTTCTTTTCTCAACTGAAACCACTCTCCCAAACTTTCAACATTTTATTCCTTTTAGACAAGACAATTCTCTTCATTCAAGGTTAATTACACAATTGGGTCAAGTGTTTACAAACAAGAAATTTTAGAATGAATCAATATTGAATTTCTTTAAGATCAACAACAAAATCACTAAGTGGTATACTTAATAATTGTTGGACTTTTTATTGATTCATTCCAAAAAAAATATTAGGCTCAAAAGGGGTCACAAATGTGCGTACACTATCAAGGTTTAATGAAGCCCTTTTGGAGTTAATGGTTTTTCTCATTTACAAACAATTGAGAGGTTTAAACTGAACCAAAATAGGTCTTGGGTATTCTTTAATTGGAGAGAATCAGAATAGATCTTTGAGCGATTTATCTGAACCAGAGAAAGTATCTACTAGGAAAGAATCAGAATAAACCGTTGGGAGATTTAAACTGAACTAGAAGGGATCTGGAGAAGAATCAGAATAAATCTTGAAGCAACTTATCTGAACCAGAGAAGATGTCTGCGGGAAAGAATTAGAATAAACTGTTGAGAGATTTAAACTGAACCAACAGGGGTCTGGAGAAGAATCAGAATAAATCTTGAAGAGACTTATGTGAACCAGAGAAGATGTCTGCAGGGAAGAATCAGAATAAACCATTGAGAGATTTAAACTGAACCAACATGGGTCTGGAGAAGAATCTGAATAAATCTTGAAGCATTTTATCTGAACCAGAGAAGATGTCTGCGGGAAAGAATCAGAATAAACCGTTGAGAGATTTAAACTGAACCAGCAGGGGTCTTGAATATTATTTAACTGGAAAGAATCATAACAAATCTTTAAGCGACTTATCTGAACCAGAGAAGATGTCTACGAGAAAGAATCAAGATAAACCGTTGAGATATTTAAACTGAACCATCAGGGATTTGGAGAAGAATCAGAATAAATCTTGAAGCGACTTATTTGAACCAGAGAAGATGTCTGCGGGGAAGAATCAGAATCAACCGTTGAGAGATTTAAATTGAACCAACAGGGGTTTAGAGAAGAATCAGAATAAATCTTGAAGAAACTTATCTGAACCAGAGAAGATGTCTGCGGGAAAGAATCTGAATAAACCGTTGAGAGATTTAAACTAAACTGGCAGGGGTCTTGAATATTCTTTAACTAGAAAGAATCAGAACAAATCTTGAAGCGACTTATCTGAACCAGAAAATATGTCTACGAGAAAGAATCAGGATAAACCGTTGAGAGATTTAAACTAAACCAGCAGAGGTCTTGAATATTCTTTAACTGGAAAGAATCAGAATAAATCTTGGAGCGATTTATCTGAACCAGAGAAGATGTCTACAGGAAATAATTAGGATAAACTGTTGAGAGATTTAAACTGAACCAGCAGAAGTCTTGAATAATATTTAACTGGAAAGAACCATAATAAATCTTGGAGTGATTTATCTGAACTAGAGAAGATGTCTATGGGAAAGAATCGGGATAAACCATTAAGAGATTTAAACTGAACCAACATAGGTCTGGAAAAGAATCAGAATAAATATTTAGAGCGATTTATCTGAACCATAGAAGATATCTGCGGGAAAGAATCAAAATAAACCATTGAGAGATTTAAACTGAACCAGCAGGGGTCTGAAGGAAATATTTTTTATGTAGATGGTCAACCAGTCCTTTCTCGGGAATTGATATGCAATTGATTTGTCTACAAATAGTTGTCCTGTCAGAAATTTGTTGATGATAATTTCCTGTTGATTGATCTTTCCTGAAAAGGTGACAAGTTAGTTGTATGCGATGCCATGATGTATGAAAATGCATGGCATGAGATTGCGCTATATGCATTTGTGTTTTCAATGCTATGACGTATGAATGCAATGTATGAATATATTAATTATTCTGTTGTAGTGTTGTTGGATTAGGGAAAATAAATCCTGACTGCTGTTGGGGATGTGGGGTGTAAGTCTTCATATTTTGTTGAAATTGAAGTGTTGATGGATGGGTTTCCATAATTAGAGAAATAAACTCTGTTGGGGAAGGGAAACTTTGTGCATTGCTTGTGGACTTCGTGAAATCCTGCTGGGGAATCCTGAGAAACTGGGCGACTTTCACTGGGGAATCTTTGGAACGGTAACAGGAAGTTTTGCTCCGTCGGGAATGTG